GGCAGAGATAAAAATGAACAAGATTGGCTCTGAGTTTATAAATTTTTAGAGCCGGGTGACGGGATAAATGCAGGTTTGCTGTACTTTTCCCTCTACTGTTTTATGTTTGAAATTTCTCATAATAAAATGTAAAATAAAAGAACAACTCAACAGTGTTTTAAAACTCTTACTTTTAAGGCTAAGAGATTTCCCCCAATAGGTGGGCAAGTGCATGGAGCTTTGAGATACTGTAGAAAGAACAGGCACTTGGCTCCAGGCCGACTTGGGGACACCGTGATTCTCCTCTTCTCACCCTTTACATCCAATCTATAACCAAGTCCTGTCAACCCTACCCCTAAAATATGCTCCAAATTTGTTCCCACAATCTCTCATCTGGCTCACGCTATTAGCCTCCTATCTGGTCTCCCAGCTTCCTGTGCCCCCTGTATTCTCCTCACTATCTCTGCAAAATGGGAACAAGATAAAATGACCTGAACGCTTAAAATATCACAAGAGCACTTAGTCTAACCCCCTTTCCGTGCCCCTGCCACCCTGCCGAACTTGTGTCTGATCATTCCCTTTCGCATTAGCACTGGTCTCTGACGTGTCCTCAAACTTGCCAAATGTGTTTGTGCCTCAGGACCACGTACAAGCTGCCCCTATTCCTGGAATGACTTCTTCCTTCCAATTCCTCAAAGGCCTGGCTCCTTTGTACTATCTGAGTCTCAACTCAAATGCCACTCACTTAAAGATAACTTTCCTGCCCCATTTCCCCCTACCCTGCGCCCCCCCATCTCATCATTGTTATTTTCCTCATTTCAACCAGAAATTTTGTTTATTTATGTGTTTGCTTATTTTTGTTTGGTTGGTTGTTTTTGGTCTCTCTCGTTCTAGCAGCCTTTCCAAGCAACATAAGCTTCTGGAGCTCAGATAACACTGGTGCTTCGAGAAGACAAATGTTGAGCTAGAGGTTACATTCAATGTGATATAGTAAAACAGTATCTAACAACAGATACAGAAAAGCAGTGAAAATTTCTCTCTTATAAAATTTAAGCTAAATCTAACATTTATTCCGATGTAATGAATTTGGTGCGTCTTTACACCCCGTTCCTGGGAAGTAGCCTCAAACCTTGGGTCCTCCTGAGATAGGAGCGTCTATGTTATTCATGGTGACCCCCTAGAGAGTTCGTGCTAAGGATATGGCCCAGGACGGGGGCTGGCCAGCCAGAAAGACCAACAATGGGATTAGAGGGTTGGGGCTTTGGGCCAAGTGAAACTGGTCCAGCCTCTGGGGAGAGAAAGGGGCTGGAGCGTGAGTCACGTGGGTACTGACTCAATCGAGCACGCCTACACAATGAAGTCTTAATAAAAACTGTGTCCCAAAGCCCAGAGGTCCAGGTGAGCTTGTCTGGTTGGCAGTACTCTGAGTATTGCCACACTCTGATGCGATGGGGCAATCCTGAGTCCACAACACCTTACCCCAGTGATTTTCAACCTTTTTCATCTCATGGCACACATAAAACTAATTACTAAAATTCTGCAGCACACCAAAAAATAAATTATAATTTTTGCCCATCTGACAAAAAAAGAGGTATAGTTTTTGAGNACATAAAACTAATTACTAAAATTCTGCAGCACACCAAAAAATAAATTATATTTTTTGCCGATCTGACAAAAAAAGAGGTATAATTTTTGAGAAAATAATAGTAATTATCTACCCTCTTTGCTCCAAAGTGACTTTTTAAAAAAATCAGGTGCCTATACCCGTATATAAGGATTTCTGGTACCAAGAATTAACCGATCAGACGCAACATTATTATGCGACTCTATTATATGACCTACACGGTTATGGTTCAAGACAGAGCATCCACAATGGATGGCTACTGTTGTGCTGGCGGTTCTCATTTTTTTATATGAAAATCTAAGGGAAAAGAGGTCAGTTCCTCTGACCAAATAGTCAGGTACTGCATGCTAAAAATTGTTGCGGCACACCAGTTGAAAATTGTTCTTACCTGATGAGATCCAAGGGCTGCTTTTTGTATATGCTTCGAGGATGAGCCCATTCTCTGTACAGCAGGTACCGTTCATTCGGGCAGCTGAAATCCTCCGATGGATAGCTGAAGTTGCACTGGGAAGCAAAACCAAAAAAGTATTCACAAATGCGTTTATTAAATGTGGTACTAATAATACTTCATAGTCATTTGTGAATAAGGGGCCCTTATTTGCTAAAGCAGACGGAAATACCAAGTAATTTTTAGTGATTCTCAATCAGGGGTATTACTAACCTCTTGAGGGCCATTTGCAAATGTGGGTGGGGAGGAACAATTGGTTGTTTCAATTCTGGGGAACACAGCAGGTACTTGGTGGGAGCCTCTGGGATGCTAATGTCCTATACATGGGTCAGTCCTAAACAGTGAAAAACTGGGGCACTCAAAGGCCAAAGCTGCCACAAGGGAGGGACACCTGATAGTCCAGCCCACTCCTTAGTTGTCCAGGGGAGCAGAGCCTTGGCTGGTTAGTGGCAGGGTCAGTTCTAAAACCCACATTTCTTTTTTCCCAATTCAACAATTATTCAGTGACAATATGTAGAATATAATCAACAAAGAAGCTTGATATCATGTTATACACTTTGCTTAATCAAGAAACAAAATTTCCTGCCTCCGCTTAAATTCAGTCACTTTCCTTTCCCCGACTGGTTTTCCTTGCTCCTGTAACTAGGAACAGATCATCACCCAGACAAGCTTAATGTGGGTCCTGACTTCCACTCACCTCCCTTCCAAATACCACATGAGATCATTCCTTAGCTTGGATAAGGCCCCTCTGCAATTACAAGAGACTTTAAAGGAAAAAAAAACTGGGCTTGGCCAAATGCCAACCAAATACTACAGAACCTTGGCATCCCAGAGTCTATTCATGAGAGCTCTCTGCAAGTGTCCGCAAAGTTCATGTCATGCTATAAGCGCTAATTCTGCTGGGGCACAAATGTAAAACACATGGCTGGACTGCTGTGTTGGGTCTCTTAGGCAGGAAGCTCAGCACCGGCTTCTCTACCCTTCTCTCCATTCCCCATGTATGCACGTGTCCCAGCTTTATTACCTTATGTGGTACATTTCAATATTGTCTTCATCCACAAATACACGTACTGCACAGTAGCAATTCTCAATCTCTGTGTTTGCTCTCTTTGGTTTTATTTATTTTTTTGCTCTCTTTGGTTTTAGAGATTCAGATAGACTGATGGAGAATGTAACAAAGTAACAGTACAATATAATATAGTATTTCATTTATTTCAATGGTAGAATTTACTTATGGCGCTTAGAGACATAACATCCTTACATTTATGAAATCACTAAGGGTCTAAGTAGTCACACTTAAAAACTTTTATTCCATGTGATATTATTAGCTAGAGAAGTGCTCTTGAATTTGAGGAGTTGCTATCATCTCAGAACGCAGTCCTTAAGAAAAGTTCACACTGCCGTATGCCATTATGACAAGAACTCTGACAGATGCTTTTTAAAAAGCCCTGTGGTATTCCAGGGCACAGTATGAAATGGCATTTCAGAGGAGGGAAAGACTGATGTTACGGAAAATGATAAATGAAAAGTTCTAACATGTAGTGTTGCTTACAAAAGACTAATACTTTTCTGGTTGATGATAACATTTGTCAGTAATTATGAAAACAGCTAACACATATATGGTACTTATTATATGCCAGGAACTGTTGTAACATTTGGCATGGATTAATCCTCATAGCAGCTCTGAGTTAGGTACTATTATTATTATTCCCATTTTATTGAGGAAGAAACTGAGGAAAGAGGAGACTAAATGACTTTCACAAGGTCACCCAGCTAGAAAATAGTGGAGTAGGCATTTCAGCCCCGAGTCCCTGTTCTTGACCACGAATCTACACTGCTTAGCACGTTAATCATGGGAGAGCTACTGCTCGCTTGTTTGTCCGTCCGTCCGTCCGTCCGTCCGTCCGTCCGTCCGTCCATCCATCCATCCATTCATTCATTCGGTCGTTCATTCACTCACTCACTCATTTAAGCTAGGGGCTTCTCTATACCTAGGATTTAGCAGTGAACAATGCAACCTGGTTCCTGTCCTGGATAAGCTTGTAATCTTTCAATATAATATCTTCATTTTACTAAGAAAGAGACTTAAGTAAGGTCAAGAAGACCAGCCCTTCCCTGTTAACACTGGAGCACACGAGGTATTGTACTTCAGTTTTGCTATTTGACTTACATCATGAAGAGGGAAAGCTGCCTTGTAGATCCCAGAGCTTACAAGTTTGTTAATTCCAAACTTTTTAACATTGTTGCTCACTTGATACTTGATTCGGGAGAGAATGAAGTAAACCTAAAAAGATTCCAAAACAGAGTGTGTTGTTTATACAGTGTAACGAATCAATCATTGTCAACTATCATAACGGGAATCTGTACGCCTATTTCTTTTCTCTTTGGTGTGTAGCAGCTTCTAAAAACAAAACTTAGCCAACCAAACCAAACTGATACCGTTGTCATAACCTGGCAATTAATTAATAACAGGAAAGGAGCTAAGGGAAGCTGCAATTTAGACGAATGCCCAGTAAAGTCTAGGTGACACAGACAGGGTGCCTGCCCGTCAGTCATACCTGCGAACAGGGCGTTGGCCAGAGGAGGCGTGTAGGTGTGGCTGCTGCAAGCTCGGGAAGATTTGATATTTAAGCTCCTGAACAAAGGAGGCCCCTCTCTCTCTTGCTGCTGGCGCTTGACTCCTGGCTTGTGGGGCTCTCACGCTCCGCACTTACCCACATGGCTCATGGCCACTTGGACCCCATACAATGGACTAATGGGCTGTGACTAGCCTGATGCTACACGGGACCCAGCTCTACCATGGAATGGAAACTCTGGACATTGACTTTGCTTTTAGCTCTGCTGAAGTCCCAGCTGTACCTTTTCCAGAGCTGGTTTAAGAAAAATAGGACTTTGAAACCAAGAGATATAATTTCATGCAAATAAAAATCATTCATTCTCCCATGCAAGTCTTCGAAAATTCTTCTTCTCAAGATATTGCAAGATATTCCACACGTGCAATCCTCTGATAACAAAACCACTAATTATTCAACAGCAGGTTGCAAATCACCCCAAGATGGCTAGTAAATTTGGTTTAGACTTACAATGCGGCTTCTGGTGGCTGGATTAAAGAAGGTATCTTGATCACGAATATAAAAATCATTCATTCGGTTCTTCTCAAATGGAGCGGTGAAAAACTCCTGCTCTGGCTTGATGATACTTTCATCCACTTGGAGGACTTTGCTAAACCAGTTGAAATTATCGAAGGCTGAAGACCGGGTTTTCAGATCATTGGGTTTCAGAGGCAATTTGATGTGCATTAACTCCGCATATGTACATAACACCTCCCACGGGGCATGTACCTTTACAAATACTAGCTTGTCATCCAAAACCTGTATTGGAGGAATAAAAGCACAATCTAGGAAACCAAACACACAGATTTTTCTCGTGTTGCTGGTATTAAAAGACACAGGTACAGACAGACACAAACAGACACCAGCATAAGTGAAAATACAATAAAAAATAGATTTGCAAACCATCGTAAACTTTTTGCCTTAAAGGTAATTTCTTGGTTTGAATTACTGAGAAAGTAATTGAAATTTTAATCACAGTTCTTTCAAAAATTCCTGATATTTTAATTGAAGAAAAGTAAACTTGTTAATTTGCCCATCACGCCATCCAATTTCGTGAATAAAAAAAACACACACCAGAATATTGATGGCAGTGCTATTGTAATAATTTTTTAAATTTCTTAAACCTAGGACTGTATAATTTATTATATATCTGTTCAATATCATGCTAGGTGGTCATTATAAAGGATGTCAAAGGATGTTTATTGATACAGAAATGCATTTACTATGTATTAAAGGGAAAAAAATAAGTTAAATCCCTATGACATAATAACTTCCCTTTTGGGAAGAGAAAACTGTATATATTTAAGCAAAAAAAGTTTAGAAGGACTGCAAGATTATTTATGGGTAATTAAGATACAGATGATTTTTATTTTCACGATTCCTACCCTTTCTATTTTTTATGGTAAACTATTCCTTGTATAATAAAAAAAGCCTTTTAAAAGATTCTTTCTTAAAAGAAGAAAATCATCACTTATTCCTGTATTTACTGTTCCATTCTTTGGCAACTACAAAAGATCTGCTGGCTTCGATCAGAAACATATACATTCTATAATGCAGATTATGACTGACGTCCCTCCCAGCCTGCAACTAAGGGTGGCCGGGGCTGCATGTTTCGAATGCCATTCCAGCCTCCCAGGCGGGGCGCAGGCTCCCAGGAGCCACGCTCAGTGAGCGGCTGGAGAGGGACCACCACTTACCGATCTCGTTGCTTCTAGCTCCAGGCCATCATGGATGAGGTTCGATTCATAGGCCCGTCTTTTTCTCTGTCAAAAGAAATCAAAAAATACGTTAGCCACTGTTCCTCCTCTGAAATTCCTGAATGGAGGCTACACTTCTCCCCTTCACCGGGCCCTCTCCTCTCAGATTTGAATATACCACATTGTCCCTGTAACTCCTGCATAGTTTTGGTCTGCCTTTTGCTCCGGGGCATACTGGTTAGATTAGGCGTCAAAATTCAAATCCTGGTTCTGCGATGTGCTAGCTCTGTGATGGGCACATAACTGAGACTTTACAAGCATCAGTGGCTTCGTCTCAAAAACAGGATACGAAATAGCTTCACCTTGGAGTTTTCTTAAGGATTAAATGTGATCATGGGTATAAAGTATTCAGCATCATGCCCCTCAAACATATTCACATCTTTACACCTCCTTCCCTTTGCCCCATTTCTGTGGGTATTAAGGGAAGTCGCTGATAAGAGTATATAGCACATGTGAATATCACAGACGCAGGAAAATTAGATATACTCTTCTCCCATCTTATTCTAATGACATAATATTCTCTCAGACAGATGGACTTTTTATTTATTAACCAATCTCAAATTTCTGGATATTTAGGTTGTTTCTAATTTTTCATTTCTATGAATAATCTCTGTGTATCCATTATTACTTCCTCAGGATAAAGTCCTAGAAGCAGAATTATTATTATTATTATTTTATTATTATTATTATTTATTTATTAAATATATCTTTATTGATTTCAGAGAGAGGAAAGGAGAGGGAGAGAGAGAGACAGAAACATCAATGATGAGAGAGTCATTGATGGAGCCCACAACCCGGGCTTGTGCCCTGACCGGGAATCGAACCCCGATCACCTGGATCCTAGGTTGATGCTCAACCGCTGAGCCACGCCTGGCCGGGCTAGAAGCAGAATTATTAATCAACGAGTGTATGCAACTTTAAGTTTTTAAATATGTAGTGCCATACTGCGCTCCAGAAAGGTTGTACTAATTTATCCCATTTAGTTCTTACCTAGTTCTTTACAAGGAACTCTTGAGATATTTACCTGATTTCTCTCAAGATAATTGGTAGACCTTGGGGTTGGTTTATAATGCCCTCTATTTTACTACTAACAATGAATACTTAAATAGCTGAATCAAGGATAGGACATTTTTATTTGCTTAAACATGATAATATAGCACCTTGGTGTTACTTTAGTAAGAGTTCTGTTGATGGCAATGCAGACTCTCAATTCTTGACTTTGTGCAGGAAAGATTTCACAACACAAGTCCAGGTGGTTTTGAGAGTACACTTATTAAAGCTGGGGATAGTGAAACAAAGGGAGGGCTTAATATAGGAGAGCCAAGGTCACAGCAACAGGAGTGGACCTAGGTGTGGCTGTCTTGGCTCTTTAGAAAGAAAGTCACAGAAACAGAATATGTGAGCCAGTTGGGCTGCATGGACTCAGGAAACAAGTTACAGAGGCAAAAGAAGTGCCCTTGGAGAAAGAAAGCAAAAAAAGTGCCTTAGGAAAGAAGGCAGTAATGAGAGGGGGTGGGGGCGGATATGCTCTAAAGAGAGAGAGAGAGAGAGAGAGAGAGAGACAGAGAGCACGCACGCGCGAGCTAGTGCCTTAGGAATAGAGGTGGGGGAAGGTGAGGGTGCGCTCTAGAGAGAGATAGCACCTGTGCCTTTCCTCTCTTCTTTCCTAAGGAACATAACTTTGCCTTTTTTCTCCAAGGGCACTTCTTTTGCCTGGATAACTTCTTTCTGAGTCCACGCAGCCCAGCTGGCCCACTTCTTCTGCCTCTGTGATTTTTTTCCCTAAAGAGCCAAGGCAGCCACACTAGGCTCATTGCTGTTACTGTGATCTTGCCTCCCCTATGTTAAGCCGTTCCTTTGTTTCACTGTCCCCAGTACTCTCAAAACCACCTGGACTTGCGCTGTGAAATCTTTCCTGCATCAAGTCAAGAACAGAGAGCCCACATCGCTGCCAGCAGTTCTTGTTACTTTCCTTTAGCAAGGCAATTCACAAAGAACTAGTGGAATAGTTAAAAAAATTGATCAAACCAGTTTTCTTGGTTTGTCAGGCAGCTAAAGTAAATTAGCATATGTGCTATATTTGTCAAACGGGCCCATATCAGGAAAAGAGTGCTTACTTAAGAAAAGATTGCTTAGGTCTGTTTATTACGAAATCATCATCTTTACTTTCTGCAGAATTTACACTTGGATAAGTAACAGTGTTCTTGACATTTAAAAAAATTAGGTTAGCGCTGTCTTTCATGTTAAAAATGAAAGAAAATTAATGTTGTATATTATCTGACACAGCCATTGCTCAATAAATATTTGTTGAGTAATGAATATCTGAGGCCACACAACCTTTCACTAAAGATTATCTATGTGCCTTGTTGGAAAACCTTACATATAAGAAACGAAACTATATTCTGTAGTCTATGATCTATATTTGGGCAGCACAAAATGATTAAAATAGACTCGCCAGCTCTGAAAAAAGCCCTGTTGTACATTAAATTGTGCTGTAAATTACTCCTTCTCTAGGGGAGCAAACTTATGGGCATTGCAACCTGGATCCCTCCCTCCCATCCTCCCCCCTCCTCTTCCCTCCCTCCCTCCTCCTAGTAAAGCCAAATGACCATAACCTTTGAGGAGCTACACACATCACAAAAAGATGCATGTGAATCTATTACTGTTGGTGGAGGACAGTACTGGGGGCTCAAAGTAAAAAAGGAAAGACCACCTATCTCACTCCAGAAACTGATATATTATTCATACCTCTTCTGAGAGGTTAGTAAAGCTGTCAGAGAAATGAAGAATAAAGCAATCAAAATCACAAAGGACACACTGGCTTAATTAAGGAAGCTTTCTGTCCCTAAGCACCCTAGATTACACATCTCGTTTGGCTTAATAAAGTCACTGCTGGGAAGGACTTGCTTTTGAATTCCATAGCAATAATACTGATTGTAAATACCGACTCACCACTTTATTCGTATCACCCAGCTTTTTCAGCATAAAAAGCAGGGGTTGTAATGTCTAAAAAGTAAAATTTACTGAATACACCATGATGATAGTAAAGCACAAATCGGTTGGGATTAATGAAATATATGCATAGATTCATTTTAAATCTTCTTACAGCTTTCTAGGCAAAGTACTGACGGTGCTGTCACTTATTTTTCAACTTGCCAATCTCTGTTAAGCCTATAAAGATGGATGACAAAGAAGTCAAAGGTACTTAATTTGTGCAAAAAATTACTGTTTAATTACTCTAAGTGCTATTTATTAGTTATGTATCATGTGCTCAAGAAGGTTAGGTAAGCAAATAAATTATTTAATCGGGATTTAATTTAAATTCACGTGGTGGTGACAGACGGTTTAAAGTGAGTGGACCCATCTGAGGGGGAATCTACCCAAGTAGGTGATGTGTGTTCACCAGAGGCCAGAGCCCGGATGAGCAGTCTAAGTGAGGAGCACAGAATGGAAGTGGATATTTAGATGATGTTCACTTCCAACTTCTCTTTTCAAATGAACACTTTTGGCGTAATTACAAAAATAAATATGTAAACAGTAACTTAAGAAACAGAAATTGTCCAATGAAAAAAAGAATGACCCACCATCCACTGCTGAGAGTACTGTAAATATTTTAGGGCAGGGTTTTCCAAAGTTACCTTCTACAAACAGCGTGGAGCACTGCTTAAAAAGCAGATTTGTGGTCCCCTCTCCTGGAGATTCTGACTCAGTAGGGTATAGGATGGGGCCTGAAATAACCTAGTTTTAATAAGCAAAACAGATGACTCCTATGACCAGATAAGTTTAAGAAATACCATTTTTTTAGGACATGTCATTTCTGTGCATCTAAGCAGCTCCTTTTTATTATTTATCCCGCTTAAGACTGTTCTATATGAGGATTCAGTACAGTTAATTTTTCCCCAGCCCTTTACTCATTAACAGATGGCCCTTTAAAAAGTGAGGCACCGGTGACTTTGGGGTCCAAGGCAAATTACGGCTTCTTCATTCAAACCTAAGGCCAGACCTCAGAAGCACCAATCAGGAAAAGGGTTTTCTCTTCTCTACATCTTTGTGACATGAAATGGAATAATCAGATTTTACTCTTCAGTATTTCACTGTCCTCTTTGTCTGTTTTTAAGGATTGAGTCCAAGAACACTTCCCATTTTGGATAAAAAGCAAGATTTGGATTCACTGCTCTTGTGCTGACTGCTCAAAAATGAAACCAAAAGCGATTATACCAGCAACACATTTTGTAGCTGTAATTTGACACTGCCGATTCTAATATAATTTATTCCTTTTAACCTACAATTTTAGTATAAGCAAGTAGGGTGTGAAGGAAGGAGAGAAAAATATAAAGAAGAGGTCTCTGCCTTAGTCTAAAACATTAAGGAGTTGAAACTAGACCTAACTTCGCTTCCTAAAACAAAAGAGAGAACACCTACCCAAAGTTATCTGCGAGGGTGAAACCACCCCAACACTGGCTGCCATCATCTCTTCTTAACTTATCCTAATATGAGCGCCAAGTTTCCAATTCATGGACAATGTGTGGCAAATATGTCATTTCCAGGAAATGTTCTGATTCTTCGTAATTCCCCTCTGCCATCCCTTTATTTCTTCAATTTGGAGAAGGTATGCCAATGTTAACTAAGCCCATTCAATCAGGCCTTACTGTTTATGAGGATCCATGGGATAATTTTATTTCTGGGGTATCCTCACACTGGAACATTATATTTCTTTTGAACAACCAGTTTGGTTTTTATTGGGTTGAAACTTTAGACCATGTTATTGATAGCACCTCTGATTTTTTTTTGTCTACAAGGAATCTTAGAGGCAGATCTGTAGCTGAACTCTAACTTTTGAACTGGACCTTATGCCTAATAATAAATCATTTTGTTTATTATTCTGATACATGGCTTTATCTTATTTTTTGGCTTTTACATTTCTGTTATCCTGACTTACACACCTGATTACTTTTATTCTTGATTTATTTCTGTAACTGACCTCAATGACTTTTTAATGAATTATA